CCCCCTCTGGAGCAGAAGACCTCGGCCCAGCTGGCCAGGGACTGGGGCCTGGGGGACGTGGACCACACCTTCACCGAGGAGGACTACAGGGAGCTCACCAACTACAAAGCCTTCAGCCAGTTCATGAGGTATTCGGTCGCATAAATGGACACAGAAACGCTAAAATATTCCTTAAAAAAAGGCTTTTATCTGGACCACGGACTAGGCTGGTCCCCGATCCGATATCTGGATCGGATCGGCTGCCGATATCCGCAAAAAAATTGCAGGAGAAAATACAGATCCAGACTCCAGATCCAGTTTAAAAAAAAATATCCAATCCCACATTAGAATTAGCATCTGCTAAACCACAGGTCTGTGTCCTAACCCTTAAGTTGTTATCAGAGTAAATCACTGTTCAACATGAGTCTGATAACTAAGTAAGTAGAATTAACAACTTTAAACCTTAATAGGCTGGTATCATTATAAGATCGGAAGTGAAAAAAGCTGGATCGGGACATCCCTATCAAGGACGACCACGTAATCCTCTGGATTATAAACACAGACCTTGAACGGCCGTAGTAGAAAACCCCTCACGGAGGCTCGGGACAAAAGCGTAAAGCTAAAGAAAGACACAAAAACAAGGACAATGACCTGTGATGAGACAAAATCCACCTGAAAAAGCTGCAAAAAGATTTAAAAAAACAGTTAATAAAGAGGCAGAAAGACATTCAGAGAGCCTGAAACTCATCACAAAGTGCACACACATGTTCAGGGTTTCCTGTTAGGACTTCATACGTCTATAGTTAATTTAGAGGTTCTTAACATTTTCTGAGGTACTGAAATCCCCAGTTTCTTTAGTGATAAATGAAATATTATTGTTTTTCTAAATTCACCACATTTTTTTACTGGAGTACTAACCAACACGGAGCACGAACTCAAAACTAATTATAGTATTACTTTACTTTATTCTGGTCCCCAAAGAATATTTCGGCCCAATAAAAGAATTTCATCCACCAAAAATATATATTTGTTTAGTGTTTTACTAATCAAAAATAAATCAAATAAAAAAAAAAAATTAATTAAGTTTTTTTAAATAGCTTAATTTTTTTATTTTAGTTTTTTTGTCGTTTTGAATCCACAAAATACTTTTTTGGGGCCAGAATAACAAGTGTTCCTTTAGTTTTTCCGGTGCCAGACCAGAGAAAGGTGAAACTAAAATCCGGAGAGCTGAACGCTTTTCTCTTAGGCCGATGATCGCCAAGAAGAACCCCAAGATCCCCATGTCCAAGATGATGACCATCCTGGGGGTGAAGTGGAGGGAGTTCAGCTCCAACAACCCCTTCAAGGGCAACGCCGCCGCCGTTGCCGCGGCTGCGGCCGCCGCCGCCATCGCCGTCGCCGAGCAGGTCTCCGCGGCAACCGCCTCCCCCGAGCCGCCCCCCCCCCAGCCGCCGCCCGTCAGGAAGGCCAAGACGAAGGAGGGCAAAGGTCAGCGGGGGCCGCACGCCATTTTGTTCGGATTTTTTAAATAGTTTTTTATTTTATTTTTTTTCCGATATCTCGGACCTGATTATTTTCCGGTTTTGTTTCCAGGCCCGGGATACAAGAAGCGGAGCAAAAGCCCCCGGGTGCCGGACAGGAAGAAGGCCCCGGCCGTGGCCAAGGCCAAGAAGATGGCGCCCATTCGCATCAAGCTCTCGCCTCTGGTCGGCGCCAAGAGGAAGAAGAGCTGCTCTGTGAGT